CCTCCTGCTCACCCCAGGCCGTGCCCTCTCCCCGCGGCCCCCACGTCCCATCCTGCCCGGAAAAGTGCATTTTCTGCTTAGCTGCCAGCTGCTGGCGGTGCCTGCCGGTATGTGTCTTTCTGTCCCTCATGTTCCCACCGCTGCCTTTCCGTGCGCCACTTTTCCGACTTCTCCTCACTCAAGACCACCAGCGTCCCTAGCGGCTCTCCTGCGCCTCAGTTCGCAGCTGAGCGTGTTCCGTGCAGGACGTGCCCACCGCTCCTGACCCCGTCTCTACCCGCGCTGAGGTCGCAGCCCGACCTGGCCGTGGTGCAGGCTGCTGTGAACGCGGAGTGAGGGCTCAGGATGAGGGTCAGATGCGCGGGTAAACTCCCAGCAGAGCTGTGGCTGGGTCTTCGGGCATTTCCGTGCATATTTCTTAGGTTTTTACCACTTCCAGAGAGTATGCACCACGCAGCCTCCCCCGAGGGCGGCTGAGACCCCTTCCCACGTCCCCTCCAGGTTGGTGTGACCACTCTTTCCCGAGAGGCCTTTCTCCCCAGTGACAGGGTGTCCCCTCCTGGTTGTCATTTGTGGTTCCCCAGTCACAGGTGATTACAATTTTCTTGTGCTATAGAACTGCCGAATGTCTCCCCTAGAAAAATGTCGTCCTGGGTCCTTTGCCCATGATTTGATCAGGACCCACTTGGGGAGGATTATTCTCAGGGCCCAGCGTCCCCCTGTTTTAGAGAAGGCTGAGTCCGTGAGGTTCCCACCACTGGGCTTGGGGCGTGTTCCCCATTGTGACTGTGCCGTGTGGGGTGTTCCCAGGAGCCAGATGCAGCAGAGGGGTGTGGAGGTGATGGGAGAGGGGCTGGCTGTGGCTGCCCTGGGCCCCTCAGCAGCTGGGGCGGTCGGTCCCTTCCTCCTGCAGGCTCAGGGGCATGGCCGCAGGGCCCTCAGCCCAAGGCAGGTCTCGTGTGCACCTGACCGGGGATCCTGTCCCTGTGGCCCTCGTGGGCATTAGTGAAAGGTCAGGCGTGGGGCGGCGACAGTGACCTTTCCCCAGAGCCAGGACCTCGGGTTTCACACATGGTCATCAGTAGATGACAAAACCCAACTGTGCTGGTCTTATTTGTCTTGGATGGAAGTGGAGCCCCCTGTTGGCAAAGTGGGTGTCGCCTGGGTGGGGGTGGGCCTGTTCTTGGGCGCTGCAATGGTTCTCTGGTCCCCAGGAGTGATCCCAGCCCAGGGGGCGGGCAGACACATCCGGGATGCACCGCTGATGCGCCTCTTGGCTGGGCTCCCGGCTCCCTCTCCTGCCCCATAGGGGGCCGCTCATTGACCTGAGCTCATCCTGGCTGCCCTGAAGCTCTTTCTCCGGGGCCTGCTATGGCCTGGACACAAAGGCTTGCTTGTTCCCAAGCCCTGGGCGATGGGACCTGCTGACTCCGGACCATTAGGCCCTTTGAAGGCTGTTCAGGCTGGTCGTGGATTAGCCACGTCGGAGCCTGGGCTGGTGCCAGCCCTTAATGGCCTCGTGGGAGGGTGTCGCAATAGACCCGCTGAGCAGGGGGCTCTGTGGACAGCCACCTGGATGTGACCTTTCATCAGTGTTCTTCAGCGGCGCACACCCCCAGGGCTCATGTGGCTTCTCTGTGTGTGTTCTCGGCTGCGTTTCGTCTCCAGGACCTCGGCCGTCATGCCGCCCTCAGCCCTCACCCCGTTCTCGGTGTGTCCGCTCAGATTTGCCAGTAAGAGGAGCTCATCTGGTCTCCCGTGGGCAGCCTGTGTCCCTGGACACTCTTGTGGCTGTAAACCCTGCATTAATTTCACTTGTCAGGGTCGTATCTGTCTTGAAATGTCCCGTGGAATGTGATATCGAGGTGAAGAATCAGTGTCCTAGCAGAAGGCTGAATCCCTGGCCGTAGCCTCCGGTCGGGTCTGGTCCAGGATCCTGATGCACAAGCCCCTGGGGCGTCACTGGGGACGTCACCTGAGCTTGTTTTCCTCACCCGCGTAGTGTAATCAGGATAATCACACTTCTCTCAGGGACATGTTAGTTATACCGGGTCACTGTTTACTTGTGGTATCACTGTGCACCCCGTAAGTGATTATTCCTTAAGTTTCCTTTCCTCTCTTTTATTTCCCCTCCCATTACTACCATTCCTCCTTTTTCTTTTTTTGTCTTTTTCTCTTTCCCCTCTTCTTCCTCCTCTATTTATTATTGTGACAGTTATTCTGTGTTTCCTGTATCACTGTGTCAATTTTTATACAATTTCGATAGACATTCCCTATTTACACCTTGTTTGCAAGACGAAAACCAGGATTTTTTTAAAGTAAGATGTCTTCTTAAAAATGAAGGGATACCCCTCCCCAGAGGTGATCCACATGGTGCAGCAGACCTCTCCTGACCCACCCGCTGCTCCCCTCAGCAGTGTGCTTCATTAGTTGGCCTGTTCTGCTCCCCACTCTGTCTCTGATGAATCCTGTCATTGCCCCTGAGCCTCTGGCCTGTACCCCAGTTCTTATGTACAAATAAATACAGCTTTTAAAAATAAATACCAAAATAAACAACACTACATGCAAATGGTAAAAAAAAAAAAATGAAGGGATACTTTACAGATTTCTTATCAAATGAAGACATAAGACACATTTTTAGCATCTCGTTTAAGCTTTATTTTCAGTTGGAGCATAGAATTTCCTTGGCTTTTTCCACTACAAATGTCGCGTGCATAAACATTCCTGGCAGTGCGTTCTGGGGTCTCACAGGGCCCAGTATTTGCTTGAAGACGTTGCAGTATCAGCTTCTTCTACCTGATGTCCCCACCAGTGTCTCTGTCCAGCGCGGGGCTGTGGTCTCTGGTGTAAGCAGAGCTGAGTCCATCTTGCCAAAAGGAGGAATCCATGCTTTTTCAGAGAGGGTGGCTGAGGCACTTTGTTTTTCTGCTCTCCCTGCGTGTCTTCTGCTCTTTGCCTTCCACTGGCTACATGGAGCATCCTTTTGGACAGGCACAGGGTTGACTCTTTTGTGGACTCCCCTGGAAAGAGAGTGGACGGTACAGTGTGTCAGGCTCACTGGGTGTTTTCCTGAGTTGATGGGATCGCAGATGTGAGCAGACACGTGACCCGTCCTGTTAAAGTCCGAGAAGGGCTTCCTCGGCTGGTGGGAGAGGTTTCTCCTGTCCGTGTTACTCCTGCGAGAGGCAAGCCAAGGTTGCCCGACTTTCCTCACGGCCCCCTGGATGTCTCTGTTGAGCCTTTCTGTGTTCAGTAGTGTCACGTGTCGCTACGTGACACTTAGGCAGTGATGGGCATGTGTGTGACCATCCACATAGTCTCTGCCAGCCGGCCCAGGGGTGCAGTGGGCCAGACCCGGCAGCCTGGGTGTGGGTGGGCCAGACACCTAGGTGTTTTGGTGTACAGGTGCTCTGGTTCTCAATGACAAGTTCACCTAACATAGCATTTCTCAGAACCTGTCCCTATGGTTAAGAGAGACATGCTGTGTCTACCTTGTGCCATGCACAGTGCTCACACACAGGTGGGAAATCAGGGCTGGGGTAAGGACTGAGTCTCCTCTGGGAACCCGTGTCCAGCGTCCACCTTAACATCGGCACGTGGCATGTACCCCAAGCTCCAGCCGGCTTGTTGCAAAGCCAGCGTGGCCCCGTCCCACAGTCCACAGCCTCTCTGGAGCTGCCTGTTGGCACTCTTTTCCTCAAAGGCATGGCTTTGTAAAATGGGTCAACAGTAAAGAACCCATGGCATGCTTCACTTAGCCCCCCACACTCCGCTGGGAGATAGTGACCCCACAGCTGGCCCACGAAGGCTCTTCCATGACTCTGGCTGCATGGAGAACTGGCCACCAGAAGGGTCTCCTGGACAACCCCTCCAGGGGCTGCCAGGGCTACGCAGTACCCACTCTTGTCCCTCCAAGACAGACTCTATGAGCCTCTATCCTGCCTGTTGTAGGGCCTCTTCAGAATCCAAAGTTTGTCCTCATCTGCCGTTGAGGGGGCCTGGTCTGACTTGCTGTGAGTTTGGCGAGTGCCAAACTTGTGGAGCATTGTGGGGAGAAACACCTCCTTTCTTTGCCATCTCCAACCCTCGACAACCAGGGAGCGATTCACATTTTTGAGTTGAAGCCCAGAGGTGTGCAGCCCTCCTCTGCTTACTGTCCTGCGCTCCCTGGGTCACATGGGTCTGGGGCGTGTGGGAAGGGCAGCCCCTGGTTCTGGTCCTGTTAGCACTGACCTCAGCTCCTGAAAGTCACCACTGTGGCCCCCCTTCCGGGACCAGGGGAGCTCCCGGTGGGGCTGCCTCAGGACCACCCAGCTGGACCCAGCTCCCGGCTGGGAGGTCTGGCTGCTTCCTTACCTCCTTTCCTCTGCACTGAGGGCCTCCCAAATATCTCTGGGCTCCTGGGCTCCTCTTTTCTGCCATCTTCTTTCTCCTTTTTGTGTGTGCACAGATTTTCCCTGTTCTTCCTCTGCCCCGTCCCATTGGAACCTCGGCTTTTAGAGCTCCGGCCCTTTCTGCATTTCGAGGAGCCTCCTGAGAAGGTAGTTCCCCACTTAGAATTCTTCTCAGAGGGTGCACAGGAAAGCAAGCGTTTCAGGGATCCTCCCTTAAACATTTTAAACTCCTCTGCCACCTCCCGGAGCCCCTTAGCTAATTGGAGCCAGACTCCCTTCCATCAACAATCATCTTTATTTGGGCTGGGTTTTCAGTGGCTGATGTCGGTGGCCACTGGTGGGTTCTTAAGCATGGGTGGGCTTGTTGCTGAGGGCAGGGGCTGTCTTGGGAAGACACAGCTATTCCTCTGGCACCGTCAGCAACATGGACTCCTGTGGATAGAAGCGAGGAGACATAGGTATAAATAGGGAATTTGTTTGATTCTTTCTCCTCTTTGTGTGTGTGTGTGTGTGTGGGGGGGGGGTTCCCTTCCAATGCTCGTGATTTAACTATGGGAATCTTTCAAAGGAGGAAATAAAGCAATCAAGGGCATCTCCAAAGCCACCTCACCCACCAACTCCCAACAGCCTCTTCTTGGGCTCATCCCACTGAGGGAAGGGAGAGGGCGAAGGAGGCCGCCAATTTCCCTGGTGCCACTGCTTGTTTTTCCTGTGGCCACTTCTTGCCCCTCTGGAGTTCAGCCTGAGTGGGAGCTGCCCTGGCTTCCACCCTCTCGGGGTTCACAGATAGCAGGTGCTACAGGCAATAGCCCTGTTCTAGGCTTGGATGCTTGGGTTTTAGGGTGGTGGGTGGCTAAGGGTCAGCCTTTGACATCAGATGAATCCCAGTTGCCTCTGGCCCTGGGCAAGTGTCCTCGAACCTTTCGAGGATGCTTCCCCCCCCCGCCCCACCCCCACTTACCTTGGAGAGCTCCACTTGAGCCCTCTTGAAGGAGATGCCCTTGATCTTAGGCAGTGGAAGGTCTTGTTCTTTGAGTACCTCTGCAAGAGGGGTCTGGGAGCTCAGAGCCCTTCAGGCACTAGTGTCTGTGGTGCGGGCTGGGAGCAGCTTGGGACCAGGCCAAATGACCCTGACCCGCGGCTGTTCCACTGCCCAGAACAGAGAAGGGACTGGCTGTGGCCTCTGCTTCCCATTCCTTCCTCAGGGGGCACCATCTCATCCCCCATCAGGCCACTCCAGAAAGCCAGGGCGCTACCTGTCTATTCTACATCAATGAAAAGGCCATCTAACAGATATTCAGTAAGTATGTACACATTTTTTTGAAGACAGTCCTCTGGGCAGCATTTTGAGTTTTCGGCTTGCTGAAGGCTTCTTATGAATCTACTAATGAACTTTATCTTTGTAATTTTGTTCTTCTGAAAGTACTATCTGTGCTTAAAAACACTAAAATATTTGCAGAGCCAGAAAACTTCTCGGGGGAGGATTAGAAGGAAGTGGATACAAGCTGCAAAATTTATCTTAGCACAGCAGCAATTTGATTTTAGTCATAAGGAAACAGTCATTAAATATGCGGAAGAAGAAATATACTCATTGATCAAATATAAGAAAAAGAGTCTTAATGCAAGTGTTTGGTAAACTGATAAATGTAGTCAACTTGGAGTACTGGTCATTTTGCAAGTTGAGTTTCAATGCAGTAAGTGTGGCCCATCAAGTTTTGGCAAATGGAGTCTCTGAGGTTTGAGGGCCCAGCCTGGGCCCTCCTGCCCTGTCCTGTACACTGAGCAGGCGTTTATGAATCTCTCCCTTGCCAGTTCGCTGCTTCCAGGCAGCTTTCCTGGGCTTCTCCAGTGGCTTTGACTCTTGTTCCTAGTAGGTGAGAACTCCAGCGTTGACTAGCACCTCCTGGGGTCAGGCCAGGAGCAAGGCAGGGGATCCAGTGAGTTCTGTGGAGCTGAGGACCTTGATGGGGTCCCCAGAGTGGGGTCCCCACTCCTTTTGCCTCTGGGACCCCCTTCCAAAAAATGACTATACTCCTTTATTTTAGCTTCTGCTTCCCGGGAGCCCAAACTAAGACAGCGGTGGTTTGGATACATTTGCATTTATCGCTCATGCTTGGGGTTACGGGGAAATACCTCAAAGAAATTCAACTTTCTGACATCTCTCAAAGATAAACAATAACTGCCCTGACAACATTTGATTGAGCTGAGTGGGAGAGGCCCAGTTAGACAGGGCCTGTAGCTAAATGCCCCTTGGGGTGGCAGCTCTGTGGGGCCGGCTTTGGGGCCCTGAACTGTGGGGCCCCACTCTCTGTGAGGCCCCGCCTACTCTCACTTTCCTCCCCCTCAGCAGAAGCCTTCCAGGCTCCAGCCCCTCTTTCGAGTTCCTCTTGCCACTTGCTGCCTGTCACTTGCTGCCCGTGGGGAGGACAGGACTGCAGTGGCCCCCCACCCCCAAAGCCTCATTCACCATACCCACCCCAGACTTCAGTCTCCACCCTGCCTCCTTCTGCCTTGCCTGTGGCTAATTCTTAACCCACCCCGGGGGACAAGGCAGCAGCCAGCTCCTGCTGTGTGGGCAGAGAAGCACATGTGCTCACCATTGTAATGAGGACAAAACTTGCCCTGCAGAAGCTCTGAGACAAGGGCCTCTAGCCGTGCGTCCTGCAGCAGATGAAAAAGGGACAGGAAGGTCACTTGTGTCCATGAGGATGGGGGGACCCCAATGTTCAGGTGCCCATAGTAGAGCAGGGGTAGTCCTGGGGGCTCCCCTTGGAAAGGGCGTGGGCGCCAATGTGCAGGGACACTTGTTAAAGGACGGAAAGTGTTGAGGGGCCTGAAGAAGCGTCACCCTCGCCTCAGGTTGCAATGACCGTTCACTGGCCGGGCCAGCGCTTTGCAGGCACCTGATTTTTGGTTCAGTCCTGGGAGTTGCTCTCAGATCCTGAGAACGGCCTGAGAAGGGGGCAAAAGTTATCTCAAGACGTAGCAAGTCTCTTGTGACCAGGGTGGCTCAAAGGGTCTTTGTCAGGCTCGCCCCATTTGGGCAGACTGGGGAAAACTTCAGGTCACCTTTCCCCAAGGCAGCACATTTTCGGCCATTTGTCTTTGAACAGTGCGCAACCTGTGCAACCATGCATGCGCTGCGGCCCTGGTCTGACGACACGTCGTAGACGAAAGCTCTGACCTGGACGGATCATCGTTAGGATCCCGCTCATCTCTGGGGTTCGAGGCCAGGAAAGCCAGTGCCAGGTCTGACCTGACAGGGTGGTCCTATTTTGAAGTGTTTCCTGGTGCCTGTTTTTATTTAGCCCCCCCCCTTTTGTTAAAAAAAAATAATATAATAGTTTATTTTTACATCATTTTGTCCATTTCCCACCTCAGTTGTAATCTCCGTGGGTTTAGCCCTTTTGTTTTGTTGTGTTTTCACCTCTCAGCCTTTCCTCCCTGGGGCAGGCAAGGCGCACAGTCTTGTGGGAGTGAAGGCTGGAGGGACTGGCCAGGGTGGGGGGAGGGGAGCGCTCAGTGGGTTCTCCTTAGACTGTGTGTGTGGGGGGGGGGGAGGGCGCAGCGCAGTGGACTGCAGGAGCAAGAACAGCCTCTGGGGGACCAGCTTGTACTTCACTCTACGGAGCACATCGGCAGAGGGACTGATGCCCCAGAGAGGCCCCTGCCAGCCACACACAGCAGAAACCCCGCACAGGTGGGAAGCCCACCCTGGCTGCCTTTCTCACCCTGTCCTTGTCCCTCCAGCAGGAAAGCCATCAGCATGACTTTGAGACTGTCCCGCGCCATCCTTGCCCCCTAGGTCCCCTCCCCTCTGTCTCCATCTCCTCCAAGTCTCATCGACCTCCGCCTCTTTGCCAGCCTGCTCGCCCACATCTCTGCCTCTGCCCCTCCGCTCTGCAACTCCTGCTCCCATGGCATCGGGCAAAGTCCAGTCCCCCCTAAGATGCCCTGCTCATCGGGCCTGCCCACACTCTGACCTCCCTTTACCCGCTCTGTGCCAGCGCCCTGCTCCCCTGCTGTTCTGGGAAATTTCTGGGCATTCTCCACCTTGCTGGGGTCTTTGGGTCTCTTCCCCACACTCCACTTCAGCTCCCCCCCGCCCTCCAATCGCTCACATGCTCTCCTCCTCAGGAAGGCCTTCCCTGAGGTGCCCCGGACCCCCGTCCGCCCACTTCCCCACAGCTTTGTCACCTGGCTGCCTGCTGTATAACTTAGCTAGCTGATTGTTGAGTATTACCTGACCTGGCACTGCTAAAGTGTGCACTCCTGAGAGCAGGGATCTTTGGCTTGCTCACGGACGCATCCATCACCTACCCCAAGTCTGGGTACATAGTAGGTGCTCAATAAATATTTGTTATGCATGAAACAATGGAACAGGACGTTTAATTCGTGGGGGCTGCTGCCATGCTGGTGGGTGTGGGGACTCCAGGGCACGAGAGAGAAGGAGGACAGAGACTCACTTGCTTTGCGACTCCAGGGTAGGCACCGAGGGTGATCTTGGTGCTACTAGAGAAGAAGAAGACTTTCAGGTTGTGGCAGCTGCTTGGGGGTGCAGCAAGTCGGGACACTACCTCCTCCTCCTTTCTCCCCTCCCCTGTTTCAGGCGACAGCTGGCACAGAAGACTTAACCACACTCTCCCTCCCCATCGCATCCTCTCTCTTATCTTACTTTTTCTGAATAGCCGAAACCCAAAGCCAGTTACCTGTATGGAGTGAACTGGAGTGTTAACTTGTGATTTCTTGAGATAAACTTCGCTTTGGAAAGGAGTGTCTGTGAGGAATTGAAATCGGAACAGGAAATCCAGCCGGAGCACCTCCTTGGCCCCCACCCTTAGACAGCCTGGCCAGGGCTGCACCCCTCACCTGGTCTGAGCACCCAGCACGTGTGAATGTTCAGACCGTGACTGTGGGTGCCACCACGGGCGAGAGCACAGGTGGGTGCTGGTGCTGCTGCAGGACCGGGGAGGCCAGGACTGGGTAGGAGGAGGGGGCACGGCTGAGTGGCGGGTGTAGGGCTCTGATGCAGGAAGCACAGAGGTCGCTCTCATTTGGGGAATAGAGACCCATCTAATGTGCTCCCGTGAGGGGCTGCCGCTGGGCCGCCATAACTCGCATGCTCTCCATGGAAAGCAGAGTGCTCTGACCATCAGCAAGAGATGACTGGATTCTTGGCCAAGGATCGACTAAGACCCCAGGATCTGCTTCTGAGCTCACCATGTGTGGTGGGGCCCCCCTGCCCCTTTATCTGAGTGCTTCCCCAGTTTCAAGCTGTGGAATGGGAACCATTCCAAAGGAGCTTAGGATGGCGGGCTGTAGTCCCAGAATTCCTGCCAGGGTCCACCTTTAATAGTTCAGGTCACTCTCGTTTGGGGAATAGAGACCCATCTAATGCAAACAGGAACTCTGTTTCGTATTAGTGTTTTTGTGGACAAGGCTTCTGGACACAGTCATGCCCAGGGGAGAGAGTTGATAGATGTAATGACCGGCCTGCAAGGGCCCTGTGCTGAGGGCTCAGAGGCAAAGCCCTGCAGCTGCTGAGGAGGCCCTTGGGGAGCACTGGCCGCGGGGCTGAGGGGAGCAGGGGCTCAAACATGTTAATGCTTTAACAACAGTCACGGCTATTCAGGTGTGGGTTGACTGGACCCTAGGAGGACCCGGCAGGGAGGTTTGCAGCTGCCCTCCTACTCTCCGGCCACAGGGCACTGGAGGGACATGGCCCTCGGAGCTCTTACCCACGGGATGGAGACAAGGGTGTGGCTGGACCCTGACAGCACCAAGAAGCCCTCCTGGATGACTTTGGCTGCGTCACCCTCAGGGTGGATTGTGGGAGCATCTGGGGTGCAGATGGTCAGTTCCACGTGTCCTCTGGACTGATTAGAAGCCTGAATGAAAGCAGGAAAGGTGCAGGGGGACAAGAGATGGCGTGACTTAGCGCCACCTTGCAGCGAGGGAACAGGCTGTCTGAGGACCTTGGGAAGGCCGCTCACCTCCCTGAGTTATGTCCTCCTCCTTCTTGGCATGTAGAACAGACATGAACATAGATTTTTGGAGCCAGGGTCCAGGCTCTACTACTTGCAAGCTGTGGGGCCTGGGACAAGTTTCTTAATCCTACGGTGACTCAATTTTCGGACTTATAATATGGAGCTAATAGTCATGTCTGTCCATGAAGGTGTTGTGAGGATTCCGTGAGTTACTCTATGTGAGTGCTTAGAGCAGAACACTATCCTTGTTAGCTATTGAGGTGACCGTCCTCAGGCTGTGCTCTTTGCAGGGAGAACAGCGAGCATGGATTTTGACCTGGGGTCCAGGAAGGGGTTCAGATCCTGGTTCTGCCTCTTGCTAAGTCATGTGAGCTTGAGTAAGTGAATTTAGCTGGGTGGACCTAGGGTGTTCACGGATTAAAGCTGGGTTGCAAGTGTTACACTGATAGCCAGAAGGACCACACACAGGTCACTGATGTTAGCCGCCACGCACCCCTGTGTGTTGAAGCACTGCCTTTAATCCTAACCCTGAAGCCGGCTCGGAGATTTGTGGTGTCCACAATAAGAAACACTGGCCAATGGAAACTGTCCTGTGTGTTCCCCTTGCCCTCTTCTAGACTCTTCCCTGAGATCCTAGCTAGGGTGCTGAAAGAGAAGCTGGCAACACCCACCTTGGCGCTGGACTCCAGCTCTCTCTGTGCCAGCAGCTGAATGAGGGCAGCAGCCTGGAAGGAGGGCAAAGCATGTGCTCACCTGAAGAACCCAGCGGGGCTACTCGGAGCAGGTTCGGGGGGAGGGGCCACTGGAGTTCCGCCAGAGGTAACTGCCCCTTACTGGACACAACACCTGCACACCCATTCGCCTGCTTCTTCGTGATGATTCATCTGGAAAGGTTCACTTTTCAAGCTTTCAATGATTTTCCTACAGCGTTTTATTGTGAAGCTTCCATGCGTGTAGCCATTGGAATAATTCCCTAGGGCACATTTGCCCTCCATCACCTACATCCTGCCGTTTTCCTAGGCTTGCTTTATCGTATTGCTGCCTACCTATCAATGTGCCATTGATTTTTAAAAAATCATAAGCCATAGAGAACACACACAAAAAAATGCATAAAGTAAAAAGTAAAAGTCTACCCAACAAATCTGTTTTTCCCCTAAATCCTCAGGGGTAGCCACAGCTGACATTTTGGGGGTGTATCTGAACAGTTGTTTTTCTACATTCATAGGAGCCTGAGTAGATGGGAATTCTACCTCCTTTATAACAGCTGCAGTGTCTTCTGCACCATAGGAACATATACTGACCTGGTTTGTTGATCTTTGATGATCGACACCTAACAAGACAAGCTCACAGGGCACCTTGTGCATACAGCCTTGCCCACCGGTGTTAAAGTTTCTGTAGATAATGGAATTACATAACTGCTTCAGATCTACACACCTGTTTGGGATCTAGAGAGCAGGGTGAGCAGGAGGCCTCACTCTGGTCTTACTCCCACCTGCTGGGTAATCTTGAACAAGTCACTTTCCCTATCTGAACCTGTTTCCTCTTATAGAAAACAGAGCAAGAACATTAGTTCTCTTCCATATCTAGACCTTAAGAGTTCATGTTTTACTGTGCACGTGCTGTTTACCCCCCACATGGTGTACAGTTCATCGTCCCTGCTGTCCAACTGAGGCAGGCAGTAAACACACACATTTTGATGACCCACAGAAGTATACATGTGTGTATGGGTATTGGAGACAGGCAGATAACCCATACAAGTATACATGTGTGAATGCATATTTATATAACTTTACATATGTAACTTTGCTCACACACCTATACACAGCATGATCAGTGTTTTGATAGGAAAAGGACAGAGAGAAGGGGCAGAGAGGAAGGGAGGGAAAGAGAGATGAGAGAAAGAAGAGAGAGGCTGAGAGCTTTAGAAAGTTAGGCAGTGTCAAAGTGGGGCTGACGTTTGTACCAACAGTGGAGGGAAGAGGGTTTCAGACAGAACAGCATGTGCAAAGGCCCTGAGGTGGGCGCCAGCTCAGTCTGAGGGGCTGCAGGGTTGTGGGTAAGGAGATGGGGCTGGAGGAGGCCAGGTCATGCAGGATCCTGAGACCACGCCTTCGGGGTGATGAGATGCTGCACGGCACCTCATCAGCCCTGGGACCTGCTCTCCTCACAGGCCTCTGTGTGTGAGCCTCCTTGTCACCCAGGCCAGATCCTCAGAGGTGACTTTGGTGACTATAGCTTTCAGGGTGGCCCCTTCACCCCTACCAGTCACTCACTGATCAGTTGCTCTGCTTATTCTAAATAAGATAAAGCATTTTATTCATCTGACTGTTCTCGTTCAGTTTCAATTCCAGCACTAGTCTGACAGGGACTCTGTGTGCAGGGCTGGCCCATGGCTGGCCTTCATAAAGCATTTGCAGCATAGAGGACTGGATCAGTGTTACGAAGAGAAGAGCACAAAAAGGCCTACGTGTTCAAGGACACAGAATGGGCCTTTTGTGTTGGATCCTGAAGGTTCAATAGGAGTCCTGCAGGGGAGGGCTCGGGAGGAGAGGTGGCTCACCTAGGTCCACCCAAGAATGCATCTCTTCTATCTGGGCCTTGGCTTGTGTGTGTGTGTGTGTGTGTGGAAAAAAAGAGCAGTAAAACTGCACCCCAGGCTCCTGCCAAGCACTCACCATGGAGTCCTGGGGATCCACATGGATCTCCTTGCTCTTGTGGAGGCAGGACAGGATGCCATTGTAGGTTTCCGGCCGAAAGGCCAGGTCTGCCATGCTGCCCTGGGCCAATGTGGGGAGGGACCTGGAGTCCAGGTGGTCAGGCACTGGGGCTCTCTGGCCGGGGCCACAGGGGGTCACGAGCTTTAGAGAAGTCAAGGAAGGAGAGATTCAGTGGAACAGCCGCCCTCCCGGCCAGTTACAGAGTGTAACTACTGGTTACACTCACGCAGTGCCAGGCGCTGGCTGAACATTTACCCGCGCTTTCCCTGGGGCTCCCCACCCTCCACAAGAGGGTCCCCTGTCACCACTGGACCTATGAGGCTGCCGAAACCCAGGAAGGGGAAGCAACTCCTCCCTCCTCCCTCATCTGACTCCTTTCCCTTCTCTGCCTTTGTCTTCCTCTACAGTGCTTCCTTCCTGCCCGCAATCCTCCCCATCTTCCCGCCTCCATCATTCCGTGAGGATGGGGGGAGGAGCCGTGGCCAGGAGTTGAGCAGATGGGATCTCAGTCTCCCCATTCAAGGGGTCGCTTCCAGCTGGGGAGCTACGCATGGCCCGTGTCCTGAGCCTCCCCACTGACCCTTTTCTGGACTCTGATCCTTGCTCACTATTCGCCTCCCTGGGGCCTCTCTTGCTCCCTAGGGTTGTGGGCCGGACACCCAGGGCTGAGGGCTCATGCTGTGTCTCCCCCTTCTCCCTCCTTCACCGCTCTCCTCTCCCTTCCCTCTTCTCACCTCCCTCACTTACCCTTCTCCTCCCTCCCCTTTCCCATATCATTTCCGGCTGTGTCTGGGGCCCCCAAGGGGGCGCTCTTCCAGCGTCCTGGCGCAGGGGCTGGCTCACCTGGCCTTCCATCACCACCGCCTCCTCTGTGAACCTCGTGGTGGTCACATAGTACTGGAAGCCTTCTTGGCCCGAGATGGTCGGGGCTGCAATGTGGAAATGCAGCTGCGTCCCAGCCTCCCCTGGACGATGGCTGCAAGCGTTGGGGGCTGGGGGGGGAGGGTTTGCCGGGCGGGGCTTCCTTCTCCCTCTGCGCTGCTAGGCTGCCTGCGGGCTGGGCTGGGTGAGCTGCAGGTAACAATGAACTGTGCCTGATTTTACATATATGTGCATATATCAATTAGAAACATAAATTTTAATCTAGGTGTCATCGCCATCGTTCTATTCCGTGGGCCTATGGTTAATCTCATTTTACAGATTGACAGAGACTTTTGGAGAGGGGGCCCCCAAGACTTTTCAAGGTCTTGTAACTGGGTGGTCCCTAGGAGAAGGGAAGTTCCAGGTTCCCTGCCCCACCCAGAAGGAGGGTGGAACTGAGCAGAGAAAAAGGAGAGAGAAGAAGAGAGAAGGAAGACAGATGGAGAAGGAGACCTAAGGAGGCCACATGGAGCAGCAAACATGTGATGAAGAAACCGGGCTTGTTTCCTGACCCTGGACTGGTTGGGGCAGATGTGGGTGAGATACCAGTAGGGAGGTGACCATGGCAGTGTTTATATTGATTTTGATTTTGCTCTTTTCCTCCCAGATTTGTCTGGCCATTTCTGACCCTTTTCCATGGGTCCCGGCCAGAAGTTATATTCTTTGTGTTCCATATTGTATATTCACTGTATTAAAGTCACTTTTCATTAAAGCTTTATATGTTTTGTCTTGCTGCGGCGGATGGCAGAACCCACATAGAGCAGGCAGGTTTTGGGGCTTCAGGGGTGCCTCTCTCTGAATTGAGGTGCCCTATAACAGTCTCACTAGACCTTTTCTTTCTTCCCTACTGGAAAGGAGACTGACTGCCCGTGCTCAGGGTTTTTGTCTGGTGTGTTCCCTGTCATATTCCCAAGAGTCTGACGCCGTCACTGACACGCAGGAGGGGACAGACAAGACCCGAGCTCAGCAGGAGCAGCGTACACAGCGGGATATGCAATAGGTCTCCCAGCAGCAAGGTGAGTAAGGTCGAGACCGGGGGGCACACCTGGAGGAAAGACAGTGAGTCCTCACTGGGTTCAGGGAGAGGTGGGGGGCTCTCCCTTGGGGTCACATCCCTCCCCCAAGGGCAAGGGAGGATGAACAACCAACCATCTTCTGTAGGAGGAAGGGCAGTACTCCATCCAGGAAGTCTGTCACCAACTGCAGAACGCTGTTCCCCAGGTAGGCAGGAAGGGTGTCCGTCCTAAGGGTGGGGGAGAGCAGGGTGGGCTGAGAGACCATGCTGGAAGGGGAGGTGGCGGCCAGAGGCAAGGGAATCAGGCCAGGGCGAAGGGAGCCCCTAGCAAGCCTGTGCAACTTGGAAACTCCAGAGGCTCTTGCATTCTGGCTGCTGCTTCTTCCTCTCCTGCTCCCAACCCCTCCCCTTTCCTCTTCTGTTTCCACGCCCTACCCTGTGCCTTCTTATTTCCTTTTCCCCTGACTTTCTCCTCCTCTTTATTTCTTCCTGATTCTCTTTCTCTGCCATGGGCTCTTCATTTCTCTCTCTGAAAAAGGTCTCTGGGATTTTCAAGGGGAGAAAGAGATCATCTGGCAGTAGTAGTCATGGAAGACTTCCTGGAGGAGGTAGTAGGCTGGATAAATATAAACAGCACAGATAGTAGCCATCTTATGTGGGCACAAGGGGTTATCTCTTCCCACAACCACCTCATGCTGGCTGGGCCCTGTGACTAAAGAACTGTGTGTTTCTAGAAGTCATCCAGGTTGGCCAGGGCCCAGTATTAGCAAGTGTCCTCGCTGAGATTTGAACCCGGGTGGATGCACACTTTAAATTTTCAATGGGAAGCAGGAGCTGCTGATGGGTATGTATGGCCTGTGGCCTTGGAGACAACCCTGTCCCAAACCCCGTGGTCACTTCAGGCAATGGGCTGGGGAGAGGCAGCCTCAGCCTTAAGTCTCAGGGAGCTGCTGAACAGTAGGACCAGTGCAGGGAGGCCTGGCACTGGTGCGGCCCGCGGAAGTGGGAGCGGGCAAGTACTCACTTCTCCAGGACTGTGATGCTCAGGTATCCTGGTGGCGTCTGGCACTCCTCCAGGGCCACCTGGGGCTCGCTCCCCATCTGTTCCACCCGAACCCCAGCACGGATATTCTTGAGGACCTTGAGCCTCAGGATCCTGTAAGGGTAGCGTGTCTGAGTAGGCTCTAGGCCACAGTCCAAGTTCATGGCTAGAAGTCACAGACAGGTGGTCTGCTGTTGTCTGCAGAGCTCACAGGAAAAAACTAGGAGTGCTCACTGAAAAGATGGAGCCTGGAAGACCTGACAACACCAGGCTGGTGACCTCACAGGTGACAGTCACCTGGAGCTTCCAGTGACCTTGAGATGGGCCTCTTGCTCTCTAGTTTGCTTCATGTCCCCTTAGACCAAGGTCAAGTTGCATTTACAAGGGCAATGAAATGTGTTTGTATAGCAGAGAAATAGCTATTTGTGCCGCCCAGGAATCTATCAAAGAAACATCTTTGTGCTCACAGCTCTATTAAGAAGGGAAGCTGGGGGCCCTCCCGGTGGTACAATGGATTAAGGTGCAGCACCATGAAGCTACTGCAGCCACTGCAGCACGAGTTTGATCCCCGGCCAGGGAGCGTGGCAGACCTCTCCTGACCCACACGCTGCTCCCCTCAGCAGTGTATTTCAGTCACTCAGCCTGTTCTGCTCCCCACTCTGTCTCTGCTGAATCTTCTCACCCCCTATCTCTGGCCTGCACCCTAGTTCTGTATGCATACATAAGTAAATCTCTGAAAAAGAAATGGCAAGCTGGACTAAACCACAATGTGCAAGGAAAACAGATGTGGACCTATTCCTAAAGCAATAGGTGCAAGCATCACCGCGCCACAGCTCTCGGTTTTTGTGTTTGCTGCCCCACGCTGCATCATCATTCGTGTTCCATGAGCAATCTGGATGCTTGGTTTTATACACATTTTATGCACGGGGAAACTGAGGCCCAGGGGATGGATGCCTTTGCTCACACCACCTTGGTGCTAGGATTGGAGTCTAGACCCTTGAGCCAGACGCTCAGGCGATCCTGGCTACATGCCAGCTCAGGTAGGCTGCGTGTCCCATCAAAGGACCAGAGGTTTTCATCCCAGCCTCTGCTGCCGATACACTGTGCAATCCTGACCAGGTCCCTCTCTCATGTGTGTCTCCGTTTCTCCAACAGTAATAGTAACTTTGAAATACATCCATGTGGAAAGGACTATTGGGACCTCCATGAGGGCAGGGGAATTTACTGGCCCTGCCTGACTGCCGGGCACCAGGGAGTCGAGGGGGAAATACCCGGTCCTCACCCCCGGAGCGAGAGGTACAGCTTGCACCGAAATGTGACCTGCAGCAGGCTGTCACTCAGGACTTTCAGGGTGACCTCGGGTCCTCTGGCATCTTCTATGATCAACCTGCAGGTGAGGAGGAATGGGGGTGTTGACATGTCCTGCAGTGTGTGTGTCTGGGTGGCTGGAAAGGGGTGACCCACGAGGGGGCAGCTGTGAGATGACCCCTTCTCTGATCCCCAGAATCCTGGGCTCCTGCTCCTGCTGCCCAGCCTGGAAGACCTAACCAGTCCCTACTCTTCCCTGGGCCTCAGCGTCACCTTCTAAAAACCAGGGAGAAGACAGTGGAGGCACCATCGCTGTGCTTTCCCCTGCCTGGCCTCAAATATAAACCTTGCCGAAGAGAAGTGAGGAGGTGAGAGGCGAGGGAGTCGAGGGAGCAGGATGATGGCTACCCGCTGTCTTCCACTCAGGGGTCAGTGGCCCTGCTGGGCATCTGGGAGGGATGACATGAGCCTTCTGCTCCCCTCAGTGCAGCATCTCCCTAAACTGAGAGGACCCCAAAATTTTAGGGGTCCTCTAGTAGATTCAAGCTGGTGATGTATCCGGGATACACAGCAAACTACTAGAGGTGGGAGAAAGTTCTTGCTCGCAGCCCCTGGGAGGAAACTATCCCGCTGTCGCCTTGATCTTGAACTTTCCAGTCTCCGGAACTGTGGCATGATAGATTTCTGCTGTCTTAGCCCCTCGGGCTGTGGTATTTATGGCAGTCCTACAAATGAACACAACCGAAAACCTAGGCTTTGACTAAGAACACCCTGATTTTTAACTATTGGCAACTCACTAGAAAAAAATGTAAACACATCACGCAAGTGTGCAGTAGTCAGCTGCTGGCGGAGGGTGGAGGGCTGGAATCCCTGCCTCAGACCCTGCTCTATTCCTGGGCAGGTTGCAAGAGGCTTGGAAAAGTTTAGAACAATGAAGTTGCTCTTGCTGAGTGCTTTCCGGGCTGCAGAGAGCCAATAAGGACACCCAGGCCTCCCGCCTGCAGGTGCTCACTGGTAGGTGATGACTCTGGGGACACTCAGGGAAATGCCTGGGGCCCGGAGGGGAAGGCCAAGCACCAAGGCAACCTCCAACTCACCCGCCCACCTGGAGCAGCTTGCCCAGCACGGGGAGGCTCCTGCCCGAGAGCAGGTCCCCAACTAGCGACAGGTCCAGCCCACTGCTCTTCTTGGCGAGGCCTGTGCTCACGTAGGGCAGGTGGTCCAGGACGCCGGTGCCCTCTCCGGTCAGGGGAACCTTGATCATGCGCTCCAGGACCTGGTGTTCCGCAAGCAGGTCTGAGATGTCTGAGGACATGGGCCCATCTCAGTGTGGAGTTCACCTTCCTTCAGTCACTCAACAAACACCCACTAGCACCTGCCCGGACTCAGCAGTTTAGACGGTCATTTAATGGCGAGTTCTCATTAAGCACTTCCTCTTTCCTGGGCCCTGGAATGGGAGCAGTGTGGTTCCTGCTTCTCGGGAGCAGAACAGCCCAGCAAGGAGATTAGCAAACAGGCAAGTTTTGAAAGGGCTACAAAGACAGTAAGTGGGGTTGAGTTGGAGCGTGGCTGGGGTGAAGCTCTGTCTCAGGCAGGGTGGTCAGGAGAGCAGCTCTGAGGGGGCCTGGAGCTGAGGTCTGAATGAGGGAAGCCGCCAGGTCTGGGAGGAGCGCGAGCGGCAGGAGAGAGCATGTGCAAAGGCCCTGCGGTGCTCAAGAGTCTGATAAATTTTTACACCTGAAAGCTCAGTGAGATTGGACTGTGGTGAATGGTCAGAGGTGATGGGCAGCAAAGAGCTTGTGGCCAGGAGGGAGAGACAGACAGGCAGATAGGACAAGTATGATATGTTAGGATAAGACTTTATTGCAGGGTTGAAGGCGACCAGAGGAAGGGTCCTCCTTCAGCCCGGGGATACTGGGAGGGATGCCCAGCGGACCGCTGGAGCTGTGCCTCAGAGGATGCTAGGAAGGAGGCGAAGTGCACTGTAGGCCGGAGGAACAGTGCAGGAAAGGGAGGTGGCTGGGAGTTTGCGGGAATTGTCAGAACAGGAGTGGCAGAGGCTGGTGATGCATGATCTTGACGGCCTGGGTGTGGAAGTCAAAGTTGCTCCTGAGGACACGGGGGAGCCACAGCAAGCGTTAGACCTGGAGAAGGGTGGGCAGGTCAGGGTGAAGAAGGCCGGTTCTGACGCTGGTGAAAGAGGGCCAGAAGAAAAGCCTGGGGGAGAGAAGGGGCGTCGACCCCAGCCCCACCCTTCCCTAAGTTGCGCCCTCCCACCCTCATCCCTTAAATTTTACTTGTCCTCAGCTGATGCATGCTGATCCGCAGGCAGAGGGGGTGCTGGGCGTCGCCTTGAGCCGGGGGCAGCAGCCCCCAGCACAGCAGTGGTCCCCAGAACAGCAGCATCTTCCTGGCCAGACCTGTGGACGCAGAGCTGGGAGCCGCACTGGCCTCCCCCATGTCCTCACCAGGACCCACTGCCTCGCGCCCCTGGCTCTCCGCTGGCCTCTCTGTGTCCCCTGCCCTGCTCTGCTGGTCCCCCCACAGCCTGCCTTTTGCAGCACCTGCAGCTGGGCTTTCGTTTCCGTGCACACCCTGTGAGCGGGGCTCAAGGCCAAATGCTGCCGCTTTTGACTGGTCACGAGCAAGTTACTGGCCCTCTCCACGCCTCAGTATTCTCATTTATAAGAGAGGGCAACCGTGGGTTGCTGGAGGAATACACTCAAGGCCCAAGGCACTTCGTGTGGCCAGGCGACATTGTGAGAGGTCAAGCAGTGACGCAGGACTCCCTTTTAACAGCAGAGGTTCTGGATCTTGAGGAGGGTGGGGTTGTGGGCTTGGGGGGAAGCCCCATGGTGCCTGGCGGAATGAAAGCCTGGCTTTCTACCAGCAAGGAGGGCGCGATTCCAGTGTGTCCGCCAGCGTGTTAGTCCTGGTTCCTGCCAGCTGAACCTAAGCCCGGCCCAGGTGGCCAAAAACGCACAGTGAGGACCCCGCAGTCTGCAGGCACGGGGCTCTCTGGGGGGGCAGGTGTGTCACTGGGAGACGCAAGGCAAGGCGGGGACCAGCTGCTATAGACACGTGCCGGGCAGGTGCCAGCGAAGCGGGGTCCTCTGAGGCGTCACCCCTACCCCTCGCCAAAGCCACCAGAGGGTAAGGGCTGCCCCCTGGCAGGGACAGGAGCCCTCGAGCTGGCTTGCCTACTCGGGTTGCTCGAAAGTCCTGGCACTGCAGCATCCAGCATATTGCTGCTGGAGTCAGAGGAGTTCGAAGCAGTGATTGGATTAGATAATAGAACAAGAAAGCTTTCTTGTTTGCACAGGTGAATGAATCTCGCATGGGGAAAGTACTCAGAGCATTAGCTGTTCCTATTTTGCTTCCAGCTGATAATTTATTCACTATTCATCCAACCAGTACTTAGTCCCTAACACTGATTACTTAGTTGGTTCCCTGAAGTCAGGTCTCTCCTCCCCTCCCACCTTTGGTATTGCCGTGTTCCTGCCTTCTGCATCTTGGGCCTTAAATTATCCACACCAGGTCCTGGCCTCTACTTGAGTCTTCCTTTAGTGGCTAGCAGGCACCATGCTGAGCACTTTATGAGCTTTATCACTTCCTTTGGTCCTCACCACAACGGCCTGGGGCCATTGAGAGCCGGGCCCTGTACTGATGGCAAGACTGGGACTCAGGAGGAATGACTTGGCCGAGGTCATATAGGGAGATGGTGCCAGAGCCTGGATTTGGACCCAGGCCGGCCTGGTGCTAAGAACCTATGCATGACTTCATCACATGATGGCAGGTGCTCAAGAAACATCTGAGACATGCCCGTGTTTGCCGCCTTGTCCTTACCTGGCGAAGAACAGCGTTGTCTGGAATCTCGCCCTCTCTGGAACTATCTCTAGCGTCCCAGAAAGACCCAGCGTTTATAACCTGAGCTCTGTAGCCTGAGTGGGCACATGGGCAGGAAGTCCAGTCCCCTGGCCAGGGCTTGTGTGGAAAGGAGCTCTTTGGAATGGGGGGCAAGTGGGGGTCCCCTCAGCACTGGGTGGATATGAACTGCTGGCCAAAACTGATAGGGCTTAGCCAGGAGGCCCCAGGAACAGACTCAGGGCCTGGGCCAACAGACCCTAGGG